AAGGGGAAACAATGGATGAAATATAAATATCACATTAATAAGCAAATTTTTAGGGATATTCCCTAAATTACATGGTTAAATTGGATACTGACCAGAAAGGGCAATTTCAAAGTCCAGCAATTGATAATGTGTAGTCTAGGTGGCGCATGCCTTTCATCCCAGCACTCGGGAGGCAGAAACAAGTGGATCTCTGTAAGTTCAAGGCCACCCTGGGTTACAAAGAGAGTACCAGAAAGGCTAGAGCTGTTACACAGAGAAACCCTGTCTTGAAATAAAACAAAACAAAAAACAAGCCAAACAAGTGGTATGTAGGTAGTAGAGCAGGACTGTGTGCAGGGTGCCCATGACTCTGGTTGTAGAATAGAGCGGGGATGTGCGCAGGATGCCCGTGACTCTGGGTACAGAGTAGAGCAGGATTGTGTGCAGGGTGCCCATGACTCTGGGTACAGAGTAGAGTGGGGTTGTGTGCAGGGTGCCCGTGACTCTGGTTGTAGAATAGAGCCGGGTTGTGGGCAGGATGCCCATGACTCTGGGTACAGAGTAGAGCGGGGTTGTGTGCAGGGTGCCCGTGACTCTGGTTGTAAAATAGAGCAGGGTTGTGTGCAGGATACCTGTGACTCTGGGTACAGAGAGCTCAGCCTCCTAATAACCATTTTTATCTGATGAAGTGTAATGTCATTGTTAAGCAAGTAGGAAATAAAAATTTATATTCCATTAGAAGGTTTTGGGCTATTTTTTTCTGATGTACCCCCTCCCCCATACATGATTAATTGGAAATAAATCAAGCACACTTGGCAAATGTTTTCTAACTTGAGTTTTTAGGTTCATTCTCTGTATGGCCTACCTCTTGGAGTCTTACTAAGTTAACTTAAACTTTTTAGTCTTATTTAAAGTTAGTTGTCCCATCAGACGCTGGATGATCTAAAGTCCCTTTACCTTTCATCTCCAAAGTTGCCATGAAGTCAACATGAACGTGTGTCTCTAGATACGCTTCTCATCTGGTCTCTATCTCTCTTTCATCAAATCTGAGTGGATTTCTTTTTCCACTTGGAGTGGAGCCCTCTCTCCCACTGTGGGTGCCTCCTATAATTGCTCAGGTAAAGCAGACAGGTTTAACCTCCCACCGCTCCCCCAGCTGTAAGTTGCTGGCTACCCTGAGGTGTCTGCCTAACAATGTTGCTACTTCCTTTTGAACCTCCATGTGAGGACTGTACCCTGGAAAGGTTTGATTCTATAAAACTGAAGAAGGGCCAGAAAGATGCCCCAACAATTATAAGCGCTTGCTGGATTGAGTTCCCGGCTCCCATACGGCAGTTTACAACCAACTGTAACTCTATTGCCAAGGATTTCAGTGCCCTCTTCTGGCCTCCATTAGCCACACACACACACACACACACACACACACACACACACACACACACACACACACACACACACACACACACAGGCAAAGTGCACAATACAACATTTAACAGCAACAAAAACATCTTTTTAAAGAAAACTTGTAAGTAGTGATTTCCAGTCTCTGTTTGCTTGCCTCTTCAACGATTTGGTGGTGGTTCTTATTGTTATGTATAATAATAACCTTAACGGTTAACATAAGGTGGCATGCAGGACAAAAGGGGAAACACTTCATGGGCATTGTTAATTTTCTCAACAAGTGTCTTTTGTGCCTTTCAGTACAATCTCTGTTTAGAAGAATCAAACACAAAGCTGAGCTGTGAAACCAGCTTCTAACTTGGATTATCTAGTTCCAAAAATGCTTGGTTTGAGCACATCCAGGGAAGCGCCACCACCTTTGAAGGACAGTTAGCTTCTCCGTCAGCAACATCCTAAGAATTCTGAACTTGGCCCCACAGCTGGGAGTGAGGGAAACGTGGCACCTAGGCAGCTTGCTTTCTGTTTTCAGGAGAGATGAACTTGAGCAAAAGGGTCACACAGGGGCCATGGTGCCTAGACAGGCTTTCCCCACTCCAGACAGCAATCCCTCACTGTGGAAGTGGAGAGCGTTGTACACATGGCTATGTTACTATTTATCCTTCTACCTGCTCCCCACACCGCCCTATCATCCAGGTCATAAAAGGTCTTTAGATTTTCATTACCGAATTTGACATCTCAACTTTGGCTTCAGGAGGAAAAATCTCTTGCTAAAAGCTAAGCAAATATTTTTCTTCAAAGACTGTGCTTGCACAGATCGATTTAGCTACTGTCCTATTGTTTAGTTGTCACAGGAAATGATTTTTCTTTTCTTTTGTGAGTGCAAATGGTGAAGTTTCATCCGGAAGACAGAGCTTCCTAAGACAGCCAAAACACAGTGAGAAATTAGCAGTCACGGCGGTATGGCAACGTGTTCCATGTGTTCCTTCCAGCAAATTCTGTAGTTGTCAACACAGCTGCCCCTTGCTATTAATTGTGTTCCTGTAATGGGTCATGTCCCATACACCTTGAAATAGGTGCTGGGGCCAAGCACTTTAAATCCCAAGCGCCTGCAGTGGGCGAGGAGCGCTTGCCTTTGGATGAACCCTTGCAGGGCAGTTTGAGACTCCCCTAGCATTACTGAAGAGGTTGCCGGTGAGCAGCAGTGACCTTGTGCTGTTGTCTACGGATGGAGGTGACAAGCCAGGAATTCTGAGTCTCCTCATAGGAAGTACTGTGGCTCTACATGGAAAGAGATTGAATGTTTTTTTTTTTTTTATAGTATGTCAAATCTCCAGCTTTTTTTTTTTTTGTTTGTTTGTTTATTTTTTGCAGTTTAAGCACTTGGGAGACACATACTTGGGTCTGTTTGCCTGAGCTCTCTGGTGGAGAGCACAAGGACTGCTTTGACTAAAGCATTTTGACACTGTTATTTTTCGGTGCTCTGTTTTACAGTCGAGGTTATTTCATCCTAGGTAGGCATGTTTCCCAGCTGGTTCTATTCATATCTTAAGACTTAATCTTTACCAGATCATTTTTCAGTGATTAAAAATGTTGAAGGTTGTAACCTCAGAGTATCCAAGTGCCAGTTTCTGTTCCTGGCTACTACGGAACCGATGCCATTATTTCTCCTTTCCCCAGTTTAGAAGTATTTTTGTTTGTTTGGCGTTTCTTTTAATTTAAGGCAGAGGACAAACATGTGGGTGATGATTTCTTGGGTGTAATCTAATGCTGTAACTGGCATTACTTACATGCAAGTGTATTTCAAAACAGAAAACATACATGGAACAAGCTTACAAATTATGCCCTTCTCAAAATGAACCCTGTGTAGGAGATTAAGTATAGGGTTAGGGAGTTCTTTGGGACTTGTCATAGGTTAGAAATAGAGTGCTTATCTACCATGTGCAAGGTCCTAGGTTCAATCCTCCCATCCCTAATAAATGGGTTGGTGTAGTTTTCATAAAGAATTCTCCATTTATGGAGGGAAAAGAGCTCTAGTTTAGAGTTTCAACCCCTCCCCCATTCCTTTGTGTTAAATGTTTGCTCCCCAGAATGTCTTTACTGGGATGTGGTTGAGCCTATAAGGGTAGGGCCTACTGGGAAGTTTCTGGGTCCATGGGGACACGCCTTTCAAAGAGATGATGGGTCCCAGTCCCTCCCGTAGGCTTTTTTGCGTCCTAGTCACTACTAGGTAGCCAGCTTTGCTATACACACACTTTGGTCATGATGCTGCTTTGTTAAGGGACAGTTAATAATAACCAGGGACCTCTGAAACTGTAGATGGGCATCAAAGATTTTCTTTCTGTGTAGAAGACTGTAACTGGAAAGGCAGTGTATGGAAAGTCTTCAAGGCAAAACTGTCTTCCCTTCATTAGCGTCGTGGACAAATAGTTTGTTCTAATCTCAGCAAGCAAGTTGTGAAAAAAGGAAAAAAAAAAGATTTGCAAATTTTAGACCCTATTCAATAAACCATCCCTCCCCCAAGTCTAGATTCCTGCAGTTTTCCCTTGGAAGATCTGAGTAGTTCACCAAACCAAAAAAAAAAAAAAAAAAAAAAAAAAAAGTCTAATTTAGAAAGTAAGACTAGTCTGAAGAACATTGCTTTGTTACAGGAGGAAAGCACCCCCCCATCCCCACTTGCTGTATTTGGGGGACTGATTCCCCCACCCCCCCAGAATGCTCATTATTTCTACAAAATGTGGAAACCAGATCCTCCGTGTTTGGGAACTTGGCCCTAGTGAGTAACTTGATTCCTTTGGCTGGCGTCAGTTACATGTTTTAATCCTCTGACATAAATCGTGGTATATTTTCATCCTAAAAAAAGAACAACTCGGAGGGGCAACATTTATCCAGTGGCCAGCCAGGGAGTATCATGTAACATGCTTAGCTTTCCCCATCAGCCTGTTCAGAACCCAGCACCACCACTTCCCTAGTGAAATACATTCAGGTGGGATACTGGTGAAGTTTTATACTGTCCCTTCCATGGTGCATTTTATGAAGAGGCTGGATAAATATGTTCCAGATGGAGAGAGTGGAGCCCAGGTGTGCCCACAAATGAGCACCACACTCGGGGACTGGTGATCTCTGCTGAAGCCTGTACTCTTCAACACTCCCTACTATGGCCACCTTGGTATCTAACAGTCTGCTCCGTTAAGTTGGTGTTTGTTTAGCATATTTTTTTGCAGTGCTGGGGATCTTTTTTTTAATATTATTTTTTTATATTTCCAATCCCCATTCTCCCTCCCTCCTCTCCTCCCGCCCCCCCCCACTTTCCCCCACCCAGCCCACCTCCCATCTGCTCCTAGGAGAGGGTAACCCCTAGTTTTAGCATTTTTTAACCCAAAGAGCAGCGAGTTGGCTTCAGAAGCACAGAGGTTCACTTTTAGAGATTGTGGCTTCAAGTCTTCAGAAGGGAAACAGTCTCTTTACTTGGATGATTTTACCATCCTGTCCTTAGTACCAACCCAAATGCTCAAGCAGTAGACAGCAAATTCCCTTCCTTTCTTCTTCTTCTTTTCCTAATTGCAGAATGTTTCAAGTTCCTTCCAAAACTACAGAAACCCCAACAATTACCTCACCAGTGCTTAAGAGGACCATGGATGTATTTCTCAAGGAAGCAGGCATTTTTGTCTAGATCTCTCCCTGTTCCGGACAGGAGTTAATTGGCAAATTTATTTTTCTTATCCCCTCAGGCACCACCAAGTCTGAAGATCGGGCGGCTTTGCTGAAGAAATTCAATGAACCAGGGTCCCAGTATTTCATTTTCTTGCTGAGCACACGAGCTGGGGGCCTGGGTTTAAATCTTCAGGCCGCGGACACGGTGGTCATCTTTGACAGCGACTGGAATCCTCATCAGGTGTGCATATCTACTTGGGCGCCAAGGCTTTCCCTCTGGAGAGGAAGGGAAAGATTATCAGTTTCATCACTCACATTTATAGGACAGAGCACATTTCTAAATGACCGGGCAATTTCTCCAAAGGAGAAATAGCCCAGCCAATTATTATGGCTGTTTTCTTATCTCCCTTGGAGCGTAGCTATTTCCATGTTATACCCAAGCCTGCCAAGAGCCCAAGAGTGGGCTGGAAAACTCACTTTCTTCTGTCTTAATCCCATCTCTTGGGATTGCCATTGAGCAAATTGCATCTGGTGAAGGATAAATCAAAAATGTTCCAGGGGCTGAGAGTAGAGCTCAGAGTTTTCATGAGACTCTGCCTTCAACCTCCAGCACCAGCCCCCAGTGAGCACTCTTTCTGCACTGGCATCCTGGTGTCTCTGGCTTCACACAGTTTTCACAATCACCCTGAAAGGACGTGGATGTTACTGTCTACATTTTTGCCATTAAGGAGACTGAATCCCACGTGAGTTAGATAACTTCTTCAAGGATAGTTCGTATAAGATAGTTAACCTATTTTGTATGTCATTTAAAATCAAAGGAAAAGAATATTCTATCGAGAGTATTTGTTGGCCAGTAAGTTGGCTAGATCTTCTATGCCACAGGTTTCCTAAAAACCCTAGGACATGGGGCATTTGCCTGTAGGATACTGGGTAGATTAATGCCAACAGGGTTTCATTCATGGTGTAACCACCCCCGGATTCCAACTGCTGAAAGGGGGGACTGCATTTCTGACATGTGAACAAGAACCATGTCCATCTCACCCGGGCTCCTCAGCAACTGGCCATCTTCAGCTATACATTCCCATCGCTGCATGGTGATTGGGAAGGTCCAGTGGTAGGGACTTCCAGAAAGTGCCTCTGGCTGGAAGCCAGTGCAGGGGTACATGAAAATTCAAAGACAGCTCTTAAAGAAGCACAGACCTGCCTCCTGCTGGCTGCTGCCCCACCCTCAAGTGTTTCATTCAATGAGCCTGGGTACTTGTGCATGGAACTTGATCCCAGTCATTCTCTGAGGACGAGAAGATTGAAACAGAACTAAGGGTGGGAGCCGCCAGCAGAGTCTGCTTGCTTCAAGTTCAGAAACACTTTTGATGTGTTTGTTTCAGTATCCCTGGTTGCATTCTGCAGTTCAGGCAGGGTTCCTGTCATGGTGACGGCTCTGTTATTTTCTTCCTGCTTCTTTGCCTTCACTGTCTGACCTAGCTGGAAGTAAAGGGAAAATGCATAAATTTGGAATTACCAATGAAATCCTGCACTTGGGTTTGGGCTTCCATTTTTCACTGGAAGTTCCATGGCTGTATAACAAAACGATCATAAAGGCTCCAGGAGGCCCTCTTCTTAGCTGGACTCTTGAATTGAGGTACCATGTCTAGGTGTGCTATTGACCACTTTTAAAGGAAAACACTTAATTGGGGTCACTTACAGTTCAGAGGTTCATTCCATTATCATCATGGAGGGAAGCATGGAGGGGAGCATGGCAGAAGCTAAGAGTTCTACATCCGGATCTGAAGGCAGTAGGGAAAGCAAGCCACACTGGGCCTGACTTGAGCTTCTGAAATATCAGGACCAGGCCCCAGTGACACACTTCCTCCAACAAGGTCATACCTCCTAATAGCGTCACTCCCTATGGGGCCTCTGCCCCAAACAAATGAACAAACAACAATAGAAACTCAAAGTAAAATAAAAATGTATGGAGAAATCTCAGCTATATTAGCCCACCTAATAATAATAACCCACTTAGTTCTTGCTTATGCCATGGAGCCCCCTTTTTTTTTCTTTTTCTTTTCTTTTTTTTTTTTTTTTTTTTTTTTTTTTTGCCTAGGAACTCACATTCTCTAAACCTCCATCCTAGAAATTAGAAACGGCATCTGTGGCTGCTTTCCACATAGACAGGTGATGTGGCCACACAAACACAAACCCAAAGTGCTGGCTCAGCCACCAAAACTGTTCAAGAAGTTCCCAAGGACTCTTGGACTTTCCACCCTGTCTCTGTTGTCCTTGTCATTTGCTGACACCTGCGTTTTAGTGTTGCGGTTTTATGGGCCTCTTTTACACGAAGGGCAGAATATTACCTCTTCTGGGTAAGCCTGGTCTAAGATTACCCCTTCAGGGCAAGCCTGGTCTGCTACGAGCTGAAAGAGGAGACTAGTTTTCATGTCTGGAGCAGAAATACGAAGCTGGCGGTTGGTGAAGGGACTAGTCCCTTTAGAGAGAACAGTTTCTGCTTCTAGCTCTGAGAGCCCAGGTCTCTACTAGGATCCCTGTGACAGAGATGACTGGCTCACCTTAGTTCTAATGGAAAGTTGATGACACAGCCAGCCTGTTATTGGCTGCCGCTAAAGTGTACTAGTGAAGATGTGTTGGAAGTGATGATTGGTTCAAGCCCTCCACAGGGAAGCATTTTAATTACCTATTTTACACTGTCCTCTTTAGACAAATAATCTGATGATCTAATCCCCACTGTGCTCATGGTTCAGTGCAAGATATTTACATGAATATGTTCACATAGCTTCTGAGGACAAACTTCTGCCTAATTAATTGCCCAGTTTCAAAGGTCCATGCACCATGAACAAATCTCCTGGGCACACTGTCGTCCACTGTCCCCTTGTGTTGCACAGATGGCAGGAACCTGGGCTGATTATAGCTGAATGTCAGCCATGTTCCAAGGGTAATGCTGGGAATGCAAGAAACAGTACATAGACCTTTGTCCTAAAAACATGCCCAGAATAATGGCATGTTTGTAAACAACTGATTAATAACAGACCTGGTCCCTTGCCTCGACCATGTGATTAAAGGGTCCATTTATTTGGGTGCTGTAGTTAGGTTGATGGCTTCAGAAGTTTACAAAAGTTTGTACTTTAAGATTTTATTAAAACCTTTTTCATATTATAAGATAATGTTTAAAGTAGAGGAAAGTTAAAATATGTCTAAAAATGCAAACTATTAAAAACAAAGCCTCTAGTGGGCAGTGTGAACATTGTTGGCACACCGGTGTTTGATGCTCTCACCTATTTTGTGGCACAGGTGGGTGTGCACACATGGGGCCAAATATACACACTCATTCACAACTTCTAGTCCCCACTTACAGCTGTGTGTCACTGAGTCTTGTGGTAATTTGTGTCTCTGCTGGTGCATACTACAATCTGCAGTTATCTGGAACTGTTGATTGTTTGCTTCTTCATTTGAAAAAATACAGGAATAGGTATTAGTAAAAAAGAAAAAAACTTGCCGGGCGATGGTGGCGCATGCCAAAATCCCAGCACTCGGGAGGCAGAGGCAGGCGGATCTTCGTGAGTTCGAGGCCGGGCTGGACTGATAGCCTTCGAAACAATACAGAGAAACCCTGTCTCATAAAAACCAAAAAAAAAAAAAAAAAAAAAAAAAAAAGAAAGAAAAAAACTTGCCCATTCCTATTTATAAGTATTTTTTTGTGCCCATGGTAGTTTCTTCGGGATAAACTTGCAAAAAGGAATTCTGAGACAGAACCATACCCAATATTTACATCTTGGCATCTGTGCCAATTTCCCCCCACTTCCTTCTCCTCCAGTTCTCCACTTTATTATCCTACTAGCAATCGCTTGCATTTCCAGATATACTAGGATGTGCTTGTAAGATGAAATACTGACCCTTTGATAGGGCTAGGTCTGGGAATTGGGTAGCCAGTCAGTCACTATCTGTATGATGTATTTATGAATGTATATAGGTGTATATGTATAATAAAATGTATATGTAATACATGAAAATACAATTCAGTGAAGTAATAGTGCATTTCACACATTGCAGTGAAGAGTCTGTGTGTCTTCCTGCTTGAAAATTTTTTTGTAGGTCATAATGTAGATCTCAACTCTGGCATCAGTCGGTACTGGTTTCAGTGAAGGACTAATTGTCATGGCAAAGCTACAGGTAGATAAACTGTTCCTAGAGCTAGGTTTCAAATGCTGAGATATTATTTCACATGATTAATTTAAGGCCAGACGGCCTCAATAGGAAATGACCTTGAACTTTTCCAAAGACAGTAGCGTGTGTGTTGGGTTTTGTTTGTTTGTTTGTTTTGTTTACATGTAAGCAAAACCTAGCCTTTGTAAAGGCTGGTTATGGAACCTGCCCATATCTCCCTCTTAGGTAGCCTTGTTTTCTGGGTTAATCCAGGTACCTGGATCCTCATAGCATATTGTTCTCAAAAACAGGATCTGCAGGCCCAAGACCGAGCTCACCGCATTGGCCAGCAAAACGAGGTCCGGGTGCTGAGGCTCTGCACCGTCAACAGTGTGGAGGAAAAGATTCTCGCAGCTGCAAAGTACAAGCTGAATGTGGATCAGAAGGTTATCCAGGCCGGCATGTTTGATCAGAAGTCATCCAGCCACGAGCGGAGAGCATTCCTGCAGGCCATATTGGAACATGAAGAGGAGAACGAGGTATTACAGAGAGCCGAGTTTCTGAAATCTAACAGTGACCTTTTGTCTCAAAAAGATTAAAAATAACATCTTTGTTCCTTTGTTTTCTGGGCTGGTGTTAATTAAAATGACTAAATTAGCTGCTATCTTCTACCCCAAACACAGAAAACCTCTGAAAGTTATTCATAGGATTGTCTTAAGAAGTCCTCTTTGGGGTTGGGTAAGCCAAGTATATTTTGTTGTATTGTGAGTGCTGACTCCTATGGACAGCCTGTGGAACTGCAAGAATTATACTTAGAACTCCGATTGCAGTCTAGGTCCTACCTTGGTTTTTCTTCCTCTGATACTCCAAAGCCCCTGACTCTGTTGCTTTTTAAGCAGGGAAGGGACTACGTCAGCACACTTATAGTATGGTCCTTCACAACGTCTTTGGATCATGAGCTTGGAAAGCTTGACCTTAGCCTCCACAAAAAGGGTCTTTTAAGAACTGAGCCAGGGGGAGAAAAATAACCTGAGTCCTAAAGTCTGTATTTACAAAAATTGCCAAAGTTGTGCAAATGATGTTTAGATTGTATGTCTTTTATCGAGTCATTTAGCTCTTTTAGATAACCAGTTTCAGTCATTTTATGCTAAATATAGCTAAGTATAGCTCTTGTGCTAGAATACTTGGCTTGCTTGTGTGAGGCCCTGGGGCCACTCTGTATGTACACGAACACACAGAGATGCAAATTATCAGCCTAAAATGAACCTGAAGTACATCTAAGAACATATCTTATCGTGAAGCTGTCCAGGGATGAACACATTTGCTTTTGTGTACCCGTGCTCAAAAGTTAGAGCGTAAGTTTATTTTACATACTTACACAGAATACTATTCTCATTGCATATATGCAGTGTGGTTTTGTATTTTTGAAGTCCTCTATAAATTAAACATTACATTTTTTAAAGGTATTTTTTGTTTTCTTTTTTCTTTTCATTAAAAATAGATTTTTAAATGTATTCTAATTATGGCCCCTCCTCCAACTCCCCCTAGATCATCCCCAGCTGCCCACCCACCCAAATCCACATTGATTCTTGCTCTCTTTCTCTCTTATTTGTGAGTGGTTGTCAGGTAGAGACAGCTTCTGGGTTAGTGATGTGGGGCTTGGTCCACTTCCTCTCTCAGAACTGGAATCCCCTCAGGCCCAGACCCCTACAGGCCCTGTTCATGCTGCTGTGTTCTCTGTGAGTTCACCACATGTGCCATTCCTGCCTTGTTTCCACAGAGTCCTCCTTTCCCTCTGCCTCTCAGTCTTTCTGGCTCCTCTTCTACAGGGTTCCCTGAACCTTGAGGGAAGGGAATTGATGGAGATATCCCGTTTAGGACCCAGTCTTTCAAGATCTCTCACCCTCTGCACATTGTTTGTGGGTCTCTGTATTTATTTCTGTCTATGTAGCAGTGTCTGAGCAAGACACTGGTCTATAAGTGTATATAGTAGGATGTCATTGGAGTTGTTCTGTTGCTCTATTCTTTTAGTAGAACAGTAAGTAGTACTTGCTTTTCCCCTAAGGTCCCTGGCTTGTTTGTCTCAGATTCTTGACCACCCAATGAGATGGGGATAGGTCCCATCTCATGGAGTGGGCCTTAAATTCAGTCAGATGATGGTTGGTTAGTCCCACAGGCTTTGTGACATCTTGCATACATGTCACCATTGTGGATGGAAGGATTTATAGCTGGGTTGGTGTTTACCTTCTGCTTTAGTATAGCGTGCAGAGTACCTTCCAGGATTCTGAACACTTATCAGTAAAGGAGAAGGCTCTAATAGGTGTCCTCAGCTTGACTTCTCCATGTTCAATGAATTGTGTAGGTATTGTCTTCAGTAATAGGGCTTTACCATCAGTTTGTAGTCTTGGAAATATTCTGGGTGTTTGGAGGTTCCCATGGGTCCCCTTTGGCCAACACCTCAATTAGATGTAACCCATTCTCAGAACTGGAGTCTTCATTTGGTAACTAGAGATGTCCACATAGGGATTCCTTCTCCCCCTGTTACTTAGCGATTCCATTTAGATCACCTTCATATATGTATACACCTTAGAGTTTCCATATAATCCCTCAAATGGCCCTTAGTTTCAGCTGTTCCTCCCTAAATTCCCTCCCTAACCCCTTTTCTCTGTCCATATCTATCTGATCCTGGTATCTGCCCCCATTG